GAATGGTCGGTGTTGTTTGGTGGTGTCATGCTGTGTTGTGTCGTTCGCCACGCTATGATGATGGTGTCACAGAGGAATAAGGTCCCCGAGGAAATTTGTGCCTCCCGGGTACAAATGGGTAGCTTTGCCAACTCCCCCCACCCCCTCCTTTCTCCCTCCCTGACCTCTGACCTCTTCACGTTGAGCCCAGTTTCATTAGTTGTTTCGTAGTGTCGTAGTGGGGCGGGGTTTTGGAAACAAAAAGCACTGGATTGGTTAACCAGCAGGTGGTCGGAGACCCGCCTGAGGTTAGCGTTGAGCTCGAGCTTTGGTTATAGCGTTTTCAACCATAACCACGGGCCGATCACGACGACCTGCAGGAGAGATTTTACCCGTTAATTACGCAGAAATGATCGCAGAAAAATCGATGTCATGAACACGACCAAATTCTCTCAATGCGTCTCTATTTCTGCGTATCTTCTTATTATTCTGAGGCTGACAGCACGCACGGCGGCAGCAGGGGTGCAGCTAGTGAAACGGGGCTCCCTCCTCCCCCCCTCTTCGTCCCCTGATTGTACAAACTTGTGATTCGTCCTCAGAAACAGCACATCTTAGCAGCACAAAGTCTTTTAGTCATCATCTCATCCGTCTGTTACGTAACGTTTTCTCACTTTTCAGGGATTTTGCCACATTTTTATTCGGATTCTTTCTGTGTGATTTTAGCACCGGGGTATTTAAACGGGGGTGGGGGGGTCTGTAACATTACCAGGTGATGATTCAGTATTTCAGATTCTGCACACACACACACACACACACACAAGCGTATACACCAGTCATCTCGAGCGATTCGTTGTTCTCATGCTTCCTGTTTTGCGTTCTTTGGCGACGCCCTGATGCGACCAAAACGTTATTTGTAAGTTGAGTCAGAAAAATCAGCGACACCAACCGCAGGCTGACGGCGGCAGAGGATCGGCAGGAATTCTGGGTAGTGTTTGTGTGTTGGCGGTGGTGGAGTTGGTGGTGTCTGAAGCAGATTGTAGGGCGGAGGAAGAGGAATGACGTTCCAGCGAATAAGCTAATGGTTCAGGGCCGGCTGCTCTCGTGTCCTGTAACGCTCTCCTCGGGTTGCTGGGTTACTCTGGACCAGCGGAGCTTCCCGGTTCTCCACAGTCGCAGTTCTCCATGCGAGGTTTTATCAGCAGATAAAAATGCAGTCAACACGTTTAATAAGCTCGACGTCCGTCTAACGCAGTGGGCTCAGGTCCAAACGCTGTTCGGTCTTTGCTCAGCAAGAGAAGAAGAAGCGTGCAGGTGAGGATGGTGATGACTCTCTATCTGCCAGTAGAGATGACTGAGAGCGAGATGAAGATGATGACATGATGGTTTGATTTGATGAGACTACCGGCGCGCGCACACACACACACACACACACACACTCCACCACCGCCATCACTCTGAGCCATAACTCTTTACTTTTCACGATGACATTTCACTATTTTATTATCAACTTTTAATCTTTGAAACTTTTTAAATGTGAAATCATTTAATTAGAAAAAAGAAATGTGTTTTTTTTCTCTTTTCCTTTCGCGTGTGGGCGGTGCTAAAGCGCTGCACCCACGTTAACTCTGTACAAAGATATACATATATGTGAAACGGTCGAGGTGAGCAGCCGGGAGGAGGATTTCCTACGGGTCAGAGTCCGGAGGGGGCGGCGGTTCAGTCCCAATGTCCTGATCCTCTGCTCCCCGCACACAGCTGCACTTACACCTCGACGCTCCGAGCCGCAGTAAAAGGTTTAAATCGGCGCCTCGGCTCCAGTAACCACGACGACCAAAGTCCAGATTCGCTGGCTTCACACGTGGGTCGTCCTGGTTGGTTGTGACTCTCTAAACAGTTATTTTGAGTGATTCAACGATGGGTCGCTTAATGCTAAATGCTAATGCTAACTTAATGCTAAAAAAAACTAATTTCACTTATTTAAAAAATGTGTGCTAGCTGATTGGTTCAAACTCAGATAAAAGCTTTGATGTTAGACAGCACAGATGCTGATTGGCTGAAGCATTCACGGGACGCCATCCAATCAGGACGTGTTGGGAGCGTTTACAGCAGAAATAAAGAGCAGTTAGCATCTGTGCTAACTGCTTCGCGCCGTGTAACTGCAGCTGACCACCAAAAGCACCGCGGCGTCATCGAGGGGCGCCTCCGCCGGACTCGCGTCCTGTTCAGGTGTGTCCCGGCTGCACACGGTCAGTATTTTTAAGGGTCTAGTTTTACAGTAACAGTATTCTATCATTTCATTGCCTGACAATGGATGTCTTGTCAGTGTTTTTAACCTCAGATAAAAGAAAAAATAGTTTTTTGTGCACTTATTGACCATCGTGAGCTCTCTCTCTTATTCTTGGTGTGTAAGTGCATTGAGATCCCCACTGTGGGACCCGTGTATAGTCTTGCAGCATTGGTTATAACCTGAAGAAATAACAATGATGAAAATGAATGAATTCATAATAATGAAGATAATCTTATACTACATAAAAAAGACAGTGACTCTAGTTGTTGTTTGTGGCATGGTTATGCATTCAATGGTCATAATTTTAACGATTAAAACAAGACAAAAAAAAAGTCATTTTTTTCCACTGGCGCTGTTCTGCTGTTTTTATTTTCCACTTTTCCGTGTGCAGTATTGCCGTTCCTGTTGCTAATGGTGTTGCTAAGCTAGCTTGCTTGCTCAGTTGTTTACCACCAGAGCAATATATTGTAGCAGTTTGACAAAATCGAGACGTTAAAAACAACAAGTCCATTCAATTTACGGCATACAAGTGCATGAATTTATGATTGCAAGTCTTCAGTGATATGATTATGGTGTTCTGTATTGTTTATCCTAATAAAGCGGATTTGCAGATGTGGTGTAATGTATTGCTCTGGCCACCCGTTTCCCTGCACCCACCTCTGCTCACGTGCTCCTCCTCGCAAACATACGGCTCGGACGCTTTCACGTGGTGGATTTCAGACGAATGATCGGAAACGCAGAATTCAAACTTCCAGTGTTGCTGGATGTGGAGGACCACAACGGCCATTGGTTAAAACGGACGTGAATAAATTAACAAACACGTCCTTAATGCAAAAATAATATTTATACAATATAGGGTTTCTTAGCTTAATTGTTTTTGGGATTAGTCATTTGTTTTTGGTTCTTTCTGTGTTTCGGCTTCATTATGCAAGCAAGACCCAGAGAGCTGATTCTGCTCACCTGGGTGTTACCTTCAGTCAGGTGACCAAATGCACCGCTGAATCGTCTCTGGGTCAGCGACGGTGTGCTGACTCCTGCTGGTCGCTGAACCGAGGTCGGTCTCTGCGAGGCAAACGCATCAGTCATGTTAAGTTTGGCTTGTGTTCGGTGCACAAACACGGATGCAAACTCAAACGTTAGTTTATGCAAAACTGTCAGAAATGCTTAATAATCTGAATGATGGCAGTTTTGGTCGTCCACAGTCTGAAGGTGAAGAAGAAAGAAGCCAGACTGTCGGCTTCTCCCGACTGCTGTATGAGTCGTGCTGTCAGTGGCACAGAACAGATTTGGCCCAAATGAAACCAAAACACCTGAGACAGGTGACCCGAGAGGCTCGGCCCGCTGTTGTAGTCGGGTGGAGGAGGACGTGAGCAGCTCGCTCTCCATTCGTTCAAGTCTCCTCATCTGACTGTCTAACCCACATGTAAAGACAAACGCGTGTGATGACACGTTCTGATCCTGCGTCTTCTCTGTCTGCTCGCTGAGCGCGGCTGAACCATTCCAGGATCCCGAGCGCGGGATCTGAAACCCGAGCGCGTCGGCGCGATCGAGCATGAATTTCAATGACATGACGTCTGAGTTCCAACCCGCTGTGAGGAGGTTTGCCGTGTTCCCACAGCGCTGAATCACAGGGGGGAGATCAGACCCTCTGTGCCTCCCGTCCATCGTGAAGCCGCAGATCTAAAAGCTGATGATGTCAGTCCGTGACCTTCCACTGATCATCACGTGTTTCAGATTCATGCATTATGTGAGGTTGGACATCTTGGACGTTGGAGGTCGTTTTTTTTCTGTTTCTCTATAGTGTGCTAGACTTTTTGTACTTCACTCTGGTTGCTTAGTAGCAGGCTTCATCTGATTCACTCCTCCATCTTTGTACATATGTGTGCCAACAGCTTGGGCAGACAGTGGCTTTTTTATTTGTAAAGACATAAACTTGCTTGCATATATAAATAAAATGAAATAATACACTTGTGTACTTGTTAATAAGGGAACATCCTGAGTTTGTGTCTTCATTTCTCTCACAAAGTCATTAGAAATAATGAAAAAAGGTTGATGAGGATGTTACGTCATCCTCACACTGAGTGATGAAACATCAACGTGTGGCGCAGAGGATGAATAAAAGACGCTTTATCATCCACGATGGAAGCTGCTGTGATTAATATTTTTGGTGATAGATACAATAAATCTGATCAGAGTTATGAAGGATGTTTATGCACAAAGGCCTCACACCAAAGGTAAAGCTCGTGATGTCACCTGCTTCATGCAGGCCTTTATCCAAGGAAAGGAAACAGGCTGGCACAGGGAGGACACGAAGACTCTGAAGGCCGAACTGAACACGAGGACCAAGCCCTTCTTGATAAAGGCTGTAACAGCTCCATCTTGTGGTCACATTTATGCATTACAACGTAAAAAAAACTGGCTGCCGTTGAGCAGTCAGCAGGTTTCTGAGTGAGCGCTGACGTCTTCTAAGCAACAAGGACTAAACCATCGTTTATGTTTCCTCCGTTTTGTATTATTACCTGATGGTTTTGCATCTAGAACCTCTTTGAGGATTATCGCGCATTAGTTCGGCTTCACCGGATCATCTCTGCAGCATGTCTGCACACGAGCAGATAACCTCAATGTGACGAACAATTGATTTAAAAAAGAAAGGCTGAAGTTACAGAGGGTTATGTTCCCCCTCGACGCCCTCAGGTAGAGCACACAGATCCAAGTCTACAGTTTTAGGTGCCTCCACCGTCACATGTGAAGCAGTCCTGTGTTGTGAATCTTTTTCTATTAACTGAGTCAAAGAAAAGTCATTTAAAAGCAAAACATTTCATCCACAAAGGTTTTGTTTCACTGTTTAACCACAAATTAAGTCTACTGTTCATGTTGGAGTGTTGGAAAATCCAGCAGTGCCGCCTTGTGGTAGAGAAGTGAAGTACATGTCTAAGCACATCATGTGATGGCTTCCTGTTTTAGCCGTGCGTGATGCACGTCCCCCCCTGCTGGTCAAAGTTCATCAGTGCATCAGGCTGTCTCCACCCTCACGCTTTTGGTTTTGTTGCTTTAGGTTGTTACGTCGATTAAATTTAAAGGAAATAAATGAATGTTTAACATGTGACTTAAAACAATGAAATCAGAATCATAATATTTTATTAATCCGCAAAGAATTTTGTGATCACAGTCACAACAACAACCACAGTAACACACTGAACTAATTAAATAATACAGTATATTACAAAGTTTACAATATATAAGAAATATTTCTAATATGTACAAATATGTTAGTTATTAACATCCAGATTATTACAGAGAAACTGTTATTTCCACTGTGGAGGACGTGCTGCAGGCTGCGACTCCTGCACTGTGTGCTGCGCATTAGATGGAGGAGTTGTGCAGGAATGATGGTAAATGGCCTGTATTTGTATAGCGCTTTTCTAGTCCCTAAGGACCCCAAAGCGCTTTACACATCCAGTCATCACGCACACATTCACACACTGGTGATGGCAGCTACATTGTAGCCACAGCCACCCTGGGGCGCACTGACAGAGGCGAGGCTGCCGGACACTGGCGCCACCGGGCCCTCTGACCACCACCAGTAGGCGGTAGGTGAAGTGTCTTGCCCAAGCACACAACGACCGAGACTGTCCAAGCCGGGGCTCGAACCGGCAACCTTCTGATTACAAGGCGAACTCCCAACTCTTGATTTCCTGTGTCGTTCAGTGGTGCATTATGGGTAATCTCAGTCTCTCACTGAAGGTGCTCCTGTGATTGCCCAGCATGTTACAGAGTGGGTATTATCCATCATTGTCCTCATCTTGGACAACATCCTCCTCTCCAGTAAATGCACTGGAAAAGTAAAAAAACATGACCTCACATCACTCGCCGGCTGGTCCAGGTGGACACGATCGAGCAGGTAGATGATGGCGTCCTCAGCTCTAAAGCTCTGTAAGCAAACTGAAGGGGATACTGACCTGTCCTGACGGGTCTGATAGGTCAGAGATGGTCCAGGATGAGTCTTTCCAGGGTCTTTGTGACGTGGGAGGTCAGTGCCACAGGCTGTAATCCTGGGGGCCGCTGGGACGTGGTGTCTTTGGTATGGGGACGAGGTGTGATGACGTCCACAGCACTGGGACCCTCTTCAGACTCGGCATGAACAGTTTATGAAAGGGTCTCGAGGGCATGGGGACTCACCCGGTCGGCTGCTTCTCGTTTGTCTCTGAACCTGGTCTTGACTGAAAGTGACGTGTGGGGGAGGGGCCTCAGGCAGCGGTGCAGTGTGGTAAATATTTACTGTGATTCATCAGGTGTTTGAACACGACGCCAACACTCCAACTTTCCCGATTGTTTATGTGAATTTCCCAAATGTACAAATACGTAAAATCATCTGTCCACAGTGAGCACTCGGAGCAGAACACAAGAAAAACATCTTCTGTTCTTATATCTGTATTACATACTGTTAAAAACACCAGGATTCGTTCAGTGGAACAAGAGTGTCATATATTTGTTTTATTTAAAGCACAATAACACTTACGGTAACAGATGATGGCGATACCTGTCATAGCTCCGATATTTACACAGAAACATAGTAAGGCCCATGTGTGTAACATGACTCGGGGACATTTTTGCAGCAAACATTTGTACATCGTAACCAAACAAGCGTGTTTACAGTTTTATATGTATGAGAAGTTTTCTATGTGGAAAAATCAGAGTATGAATTTGCAACACAGGAGTGCTAAACTTATAAATATGCAGATAAACAGATACATTAACATAAATCACATTCATGCAGGTTTATTTATTCACCTGTCTTAATGATTAAATATTCATATTTTAGGAAGCAAGCAAGAAGTTTCTCAAACATCTGATCCCTGACTTTACAAAACCGGCAGTTCCTCCGACGTCCAGTCCCAAACTTCTACAGTCTGAGGTCAGCCTACATCGCATGTGCTGCGGTAACACGAGTTTTTGAACAATTTTACTATGAAGAACGTCGATGATGGTTTCAGATGTTTTCTAAACACCAGAGTTAAATGATGCCCAGGTTTTCATAGATTACATCATCAAGTGGACAATCCGAGGCTTTTGTTGTGCTCCTGTTGGCGATATGAGATGAGGACGAGGGGGTGCTCTCATTGGATGACGAGGGGCTAGACGACGGTGCTTTCTTACAGACATGAGCGTAAAGATGAGCGAAGGGGTCGGCCTTGGCTTCGCTTGTCAGAGACACTTTGCTCCGTCTGCTGGGTTCGGCATAGACCGCGGCACCCTCTGCTGAAACCTTCGTTTCTTCTTTTTTCTGGAGGACGTTGTCTTTGTTCTGGTGATGGCCGATCTTGTCGTACACCTCCGAGTAGACCGAATCCGGGTCGTCCGCGCGAGGGGGGGGATGCGGAGCGGCACATGGGGGTTTGAGAGGAAGAACGCTTGCAGGGTCGATATACGTGGCTCTGACAGGCGGGGGTTTTGTTACAGGCCGGATGCAGTCGGTCGGATTGGCGTATATGGCCTCTGACTGGTCTCCATGGTTACCTGCAGAGGAGGCAGCAGGGACCAGTGGGAGTGGCATGAGGGTGATAGGAGGCGGGTGATCTTCCCGAGCATGTGCGCTCTCTTCTCTGCTCTCCTCTGTCCTCAGCTTGTTCTCCAGGATGGCGGCCATGTTGGTCATATCGGGGACTTTGGGGAGGGGCGAATGAGCCTGTATGTTGGTTACCGCAACCTTCTCTCCCTCTGGGTTTGGGTTGGTCGATGAAGTCTTCAGTTTGATGGTGCTCTGAATCCGGGCGAATATCTTGTCAGCCTGCGGCGTCTCAAAGATGAACGCTCCAGGACCGGAGTCGCAGCGCCGCCCGGCTTCGATGGTTAGGGTCAGCTGGGAGGAGGAGAGAAAATAAACGTCTTACACTTGTGAGGCTTCAGTTTCACTTAAAGCTTCCATCATGAACTGAACTTTAACAAGAATGTGAAAGAATTTCAGGTGAAAAATCAGAGC